TGGGCAACTGGTGCCACCTTAGTCAGGGGGCCCCAGTCTACCCCCCCCCTTGCGACCAGTCCTGCCAGCTTGGGGGGAAATCCCCCACGGCTGATCTCCTTGCCCAGGGGAACTCCCACAGCCGATCCTGCTTCTGGGACTGGCTGCAGTGATCGGCCGGTGCTTGCAGGGGGGGGCACCGACACTCCCACCTGCCCACCCTGCCCATCGCCTAAGTGGTGCTCGGGTACATCGGCACTCTCAGGGGGTGCATATGCGCCCCCCATGAGCCCCTTACACATTGCCATTGGTCCAAACAAATAATTACAACTGGGTTGGAACTCAGGCCACCTGGGTCCTATTCCTAGTTCTGCCACAAGCCTGCGGAGTCACCTTGGGCAAGTCACTACAGGGCACCTGCCTCGGTTTCCCTATTGCTGAAATGGGGATAATGATGATGCCTATTTACATAAACACACATGTGCAGTGCATCCCTCCTGTGTTGAGATCCACAGGTGGTGAGTGAGGAGACTTAGGGATTAGTGCTGTACTTGCACTATGCCTTAGGCTTTACGGTACCATTAAACTCTCTTGTATCGGCAGTTAACAACTGTATGAAGATGCCTTCAGAGGAATAGCACCTTCCTTTCCCTGTACAGGAGTAACCCCCACTTTATGCTGTTCTCCTGGGGCAGCTGCAAGGTGCCATCATCCGTTCCACCATTTGGCATGAACAGCCCTCAGCATCCACTCCTCTCAATCTGCAGGGGCAGATGGGACAGTGTGACTACCCACAAGCCCCAGCCCCCCACAATAAGGCAGATCCCAGGCTCTCAGGGCTTCAGCAGGGGCCTCCCAGCCTGGTGTCTCATCCTGGGACACCAGGGGGAAGAGGAGCCTCCTGCTGGAAGGTGGGAGGGAGAGGCTAGAGCCAACTGCAAAGTGAATAAACTCTTTATTCTCAGGCTGAGTGCGGTTGGAACAGAGAGAAATGGCTCGGCATCTGTGCATAAGGCAAGGCAAGGCAAGGGCTATCACCCCTTCCCAGCTCCAACCTTTCCCCGCAGGTCACAGGGATTTGGGAGGGAGCACCTCAGACTTGCCTGCCCAAGCGGTGCTTCAGTGGTACTCAAGCAAAGAGTTGCATGAAGGGGAGGGTGGCAGTGGAAAAGGTGGTGCCCCCCACCTCTCAGGTAACACCTGCTGGGCTGCAGTGCAGGGTTCAGGGCAGTGCTGTGCTTGGTGAGGGGCTTCGTGAGGGGTGGAAGGAGGGTCCCCCCACAGGGCCGCACCCAATTGACCATGAAGGAGCGAGGCCTTGGAGTTGGGGCTACAAACACCAGCTCCACTCTTGGCACTGCCCCTTGGATGACTGGCGCTGATGCCCTCTGGTACTGAAAGTTCCCCCTGCCTGGTAATACCCAGGCCCAGCACCTTCTGTAGCCACGGTCATGTTGTTATGGGGTGGGGACGCCATCAGAGGTGGGGCAAGGGGCTGGGCCACTGTCAGGGTCAGGGCAAGGGACGGAGATATTGCCAGGGGCATGGCAACAGGTTGGGGCACTGTCCGGGACACCTGCAGAAGTGAGAGAAGAGGTAGGGCTACTGTCAGGGGCAGGGCCACATTCAGAGATAGGAGAAGGGGTGAGGCCACTGTCATGGCCAGGGCCAGAGCCAGGAGCAGGGTCACTGTCAGGGGCAGAGCCCCTTCCAGGGGTGGGGCAAGGGGCAGGGCTACCGTTTGCAGCAGGGTCCACATCCACACTGGCCTGTCGTACCATCCTCCGTGGCCGTGAGGAGATGAAGCCGTAGGATTTAGGTGGGGGCTCCCAGGTAGAGGGTGCGGGGCTTATGGGCTCCTCCCCTGGGGCTCCCAGCCGCTCCTCGAACTCTTTGGTGCGGCTCACCACCAGGGCAGCGTCTATGAGATGGGCCACTGAGAGACGGTGTTGCACATGGGGTGCACAGCGCCGGGGTGGGTCCAGGGCTGCGGGGGCAGGGCCCTCCATGTGCCGCACGGCTGTGTGCACCTTGCCGGGCGCCGGGCGGTAGGACATCTGCTTGCATAGTTGGCCGTGGCTCCGGGAGGCCCTGCGACCACGGTGCCGGCCCCGCCGGCCCCCCACCTTGTCCATTGTGGCTTGCTGTTGGCGACGCTGGACCTTGGATCCTGCCCCAGCCCCAGGATCCTCCTGGCTCTGAGGCACTGGGGGCAGGGAGGCATCAGGCTGCAATGGGGGGCTGCCTCTGGAGGGCTGGATCCCTGAGACAGCAAACATCTGCACAAGCAGAAGAGAGAGAAGCAGCGCAGTCAGGTCATACTTGGGAGCCAGGCCTCATATCTCCTCCCTAACTCACTTCCCCTCAAGCAGCTTCTGGCTGTGCCCTTCCTCCCCCATGGTGCCCCCTTCCACACCCCTGTGACTCCCTCCAGTGGTGCCCTGATCCTGCCCTTATTTCTTGGCACCCCCTTCCACACCCCTGTGGTGCCCCTTGATCATGCCTTGCTTCTCTCCCCAGCACTCCATAGTAGTGCTTTCCCCCACCCTCTATTCCAGGGTGCTTTTGTCACACTCCCACGGTGATCCCCTGGTAGGGCTCTGCATCTTGCCCATGCCATCTTTTACTAGCTTGCTGCCCCCCAACAGTACTTTGCACCCTGCCTTCCCTCCTGATGCTCCCAGCCCCTCACCATACCTCCCCCTCGACAGGGCCCTCCAGCGGGGATGGGGTGTCATGGCTCTCCATCTCACTGATGCTCCTCATGATGGCGTACAGATTGATGCGCTGCCGGCGTGGGCTGCCAGGGGACTGAGGTGACCGCAACGCAGCCAGGTGCTTACGCACCTCCTCGGCTCCTGAGTCATCCGAGCCACCGAGCTCCTCTGCCTCATGTGTGGAGGTCTGGGCCCCCAGGCCAGCATGGCCTCCTGCTGCAGCCTCCTGGGGGGACTGGGCAGGCTCATCGGGGGGCTCCCGTAGGGGTCGAAAGCAGTAAGTGGGTGTTTTGGCTGGCTCCTCCTCTGAGGTGGGGGATTCAGGGAATGGGCTCTCATCGCTGGCTGAGAGGTCACTGCTGGCATCATTTGAATCCCCTGTGTCCTCCCATTGGGCATCCCCAGCCTTCTGTGCCCAGAGGCTGCTGTGCCGGCTGTGCAGAGAGGGGGCTGGGTGAGTGCCAGGCATCAAGGGCTCATAGCATCCACACTAGGGAAGATGGCAGGGCTGGGCAGTGCTGGCTCTGCCCTAGCCCATGTCACAGTGCCCCCTTCCAGGAAGCGGGGCTGGGCAGCCTTGGCTCCACCCCCTCCCATTATGTCATACGGCACCCTGCTGGGGAAGAGCAAGGGTGGGCAGCACTGGCTCCGCCCCCTCCCTCCTGTCACAGTGCCCCCTTCAGGGCTGGGCAGCTTCAGTTTGGCTACCTGGCATCCAGGATGCCCTGGTAGAACTCCAGCTGCTTCATGAAGCCGGGGTTGGGGTGCACAATGGGACGTCTTTCCTGCACATGCCGGTAGGCCTGCTCCAGCGTCCACTGGTACTCCTTCATGGCGTAAGCGATCACTGTGGAAGCTGAACGGCTCACACCCATCTTACAGTGCACCAGCACCCGCGCATTCTGCTTCCTGTGGAGAAGGACATGGGCTGGTGAGGCAGGGGCTAGGGTCTGGCTGCTGGAATCCCTCCCTCCATCACACACACATGCCGGTGGGAACTGGGTCTGGCATCTCTACCAGCCTGGGAGCATGTGCCAAGCCAGATTTCAGATGCTGTAATTACAGATTACAACGTTGGGGATTCAGATATCCTAAATTCCTCTATGCTGTGTATGTGTCACTACATTCTTCCTCACAGACAAACTGATTCCAGAAGCGATTCAGCCTGCATCATAATGACCAGTGTGAGAGAGAGGGCAGATCTGTGTCAAGTGAGCTAAGAAGCATAGGCTGGTGATCACTGCATCACATGCCAGTAAGACAACCCCAGGTAAGGGACAACACATCACAGCTCAGGAACTTCCCTGCTCCCTGCTGGATTGGCCAAGAGATAGTTATCCCAGAAAAATGAGGGGGAAAACAGACAATTTAATCTGAACGGTATAAAACTGCTCAACTGTATAAAACTTGTCCCACAAAAGCACAGATATGGGAGTCTGAAATCTGCCTTACCTCTGAGGACAGACTCTGAGGGATATGAGACCTCACCACCCCATAGGGAGCATGTCTATGTATTCTCTACTGTATGTAGCTGCTAGCGGTAGTTTTGCCTAATTGCTAATATCCCAATAAACCAGTGTATGGTATGAAAGAACTTGCTCTGGTTTGTCTTGTACTCATTCAGATAAAACAAAAGCCTCTAAAGTTGTCCCATGTGTAACTACGCTAGCATATAGACAGCAGGACTGCAGTGTGCTGCTATCAGTC